TCTTTGGGGTCTAGGTATGAACCCAGACTGGCAGTCTAGAAGCTTTGTGATGATTCTGAGGTTGATTCTCTCCCCCCCCCCCCCCCCAGCACGCAACAGAAGCCAAAATCGCTTGGCTTCATCGCAGTAAATAGTAAGCAGGCGACAAGGTGCTGCAAGCGTAAGGGTCTCCTGTGTCCCGCGCCGGTAGGCTTTCTCAAGGGTCGCGTCATCGAAGGATGGCCGCCATTTCTTCCACTGCCGAGTGTAACAGGAGCGCACTATCGTTTGATGTCCTCGTGTCCTTAGAAAAGTAGTTTCCTCCGAAGTGCGCACCTGAAACACAGTATAGCCAAGCAGGCGTTGTGGGTTTTCAGGTCTTGCAACAGATGCTTGCAAGCAAGGCTATCGCTTGTCGAACAGATCAAGGCACAGGCGAGATGCAGCGAAGCCAGCGGGAACAGAACTTCGGCGGAAAACCACGGCTGCAGTTAGGGCTTAAAGTTAGGTACAAAGAATCAATAATGTCGTGACAGCGGACCGTGGAAGCTCCAGCAGCAGAGAGCAAGAGTCACGGCTGTGTGTGACCCATTGAAGAGCCGGGTTTCCTGGGGTGCCTTCAGGGGTTTGTCGCAAGCGAGCTCTAAACCCTGAACTCAATAGCTCCTTGCAAGAGCTTGTCGGCTGTAGAGTATGGACAACATGAATTGTGACTAATTAGCAGCCTCAGCAATTTGCCAGACTTTGATTCTCGCAGCTTTGTACGGTTTGCTGAAGCACAGTTTCTGGGAAACGTTCCTCGAAGTTTTCAGCTATACGGGAAGCCGTATGGTCGAGGAACTTATAGATTTTCTTGCTTGCGGTTCTGAACCAGACCGAGCTTTAGCAAGCAAACCTCAACCCTGAACAGTGCAGACAGAGTTCCATGGCCACTGCAGCTCAAGAGACTGACAGAAGACACAGTGTGTGTGGTTTTTTTGGTATTTGAGGGGCTTAAGCTTGGCGCTCCTCCCAGTATGAGACCAACGGCTCACAGTTGAGGCTGGCCCAGTGCCTCCAAAGAGAGACTTCAGGAGCCTGGCTGATACATGCGGCTCCACAAGTCTATAACTAACCAACGCCCTCTAAAGCCGAAGGGTTCCGCTTGGCGCTTTGCCTCGTTGCGGCCATGCCGACGGTGGTGCGGCCGACGCAGACTCTCAAGGCGCCAGTTCTGCTGAGTTGCGGCCCCCACTGGGCATGGAACTGTGCCCAGCAGCGCTCTAAAACTCAAGGTTCCCTCGTCGCCCTAAACCCTATAGACCCTAAACCCTGAACCCTAAACCGAAAGCCCTCAAGACCTCAGGAGCTCACCAGCACTCCGACGCATTTAGTGGACACCGGAGGCTTTGAGCTTCGGCCACTCAACTGAACAGACCTTCTTGGGCTTGTGGAGCGGGGTTTGAGGTTGCCATAAAGTGTGCGGAGCCGGACGTAGCAGTCACAGTAGTAGAATACACAGTAGCACGGCAGAAAACAGTCGTTGTGTTCGTGTAATTGCCGCTGGAGCGGCTGGTGATGGCGGCGGCAGTGAAAATCTGCTGTTCTACTATTTGCTGCTACTCTGTGTCTCTGTGAGTGTGTGCCTTAAATTCGCGAAGCTGTTCTCATCCATAAACTTGTCAACGCGAGCCCGGCTTCATCGGGGCATGTCTGGAACTTGGTCCATCGCAAGCTTGAGGCCTGACTCTTCATAGCTGTCCCCATCAGCATGGCGAAAGAAAGGCCATAATCATCAATGTTGGTGTAAACATATACGCGGAGAACTCTGAGCGAGTGTACTGCAATGCATGTAATGGAATGTAGTAGTGTCATGTAGCATGACGGAGTGTAGCATAGCATAATGTAATGTAATGATATTGCGATGCAAGGCAATGCAGTAGAATGTCATGCAATGTAATGTAGTGTGATACAGTTTTGTGTTGCGCTGTGCTATGTCTTGACGTGTAATGTAGTGTCATGTAAGGTGTGAAATGGGAGGCAATGTAATGTTTCCTTCGTGTCGTGTAGCGAACTGGAATGGACTTGTCATGCAAGTATGCCTGCCTCCCTGCGGCCTGTTTGTTTGTCTGTGTATCATGAGCGAACAAGACCAGCATCCTGGTGCCCACGTGTCTGCACAGATTGCAAAGCATCACTTTCAATCGGTCTATCTATGTATCTGTCTGTCTATCTATCTCTCCAACTATCTATACCTCCTACCGACCGACCGACCTACTTAGCCACCTAGCTACCGAACGATCTATCTACCTGTGACTAACTGCATGCATAATATACACATGTCGAGGCTATATCCATCCATACAGGCTCTCAGTCAGCACCAGCCACTTCCTGTCCGAACCCGAGGCAGACGTCGCACTCCCCGGCGCATAAGAATGCCTCTTTGGGCTCGTCGCTGGGATGCATAACCCTGGGCCGAGACCCCAAGTAAGTAAGCCTTCGACAGGTTTAGATGAAGTTACCTTCCCGTGCCCGTGGCTTATAAGGGGCCTCATGTGTCGGGCCCAAGGACATTCTAGGTATTGGAGGCCCCGAGTGTCCTGGGCTTCAGGAAGTCCGCCTCAGAGCCCTTCCTGCGCCAGCCGACGGAGATGGCCAGGCAGCCGGAGACGAGTCGAGAGGACGCTGGGTCAAGACGCATTGGCCCCTTCACAGTCTTGTGAGGCTGAGCCCTTTTGAAAGTAGCGAAAAAAAGCTTTGCGGGTAGACCCCGCAAACCTCAATCCTACGCTGCAGCATTCAAGATGTCCAAGAAGCTTAGAGTGGTGTAAAAACCCTAAACCCTAAACCCAAAAAACCCTATAAACCCTATAAACCCTAGATAAACCCTATAAACCCTATAAACCCTAGATAAACCCTATAAACCTAAAGTTCAGGGACCAGAGGGCCCTGGTCCCGGCGTAAGAACCACTCAGGCCATGGGATGCCAATAGCAACAGCCGGGACCTAGACCCGATTTTCTACCACAGGCAGAGGCAGCGGAATCCCAAACAGCTTGCAGCTTTCGTGACAAAATAGGCACCAAAGCGGCACACGCATATCTGAAGCAAGGCCCCCCCCCCGTCCCCCCTCACCCTCCCCCCCCTCCCCAAAAGATTGTCGCAGGGCTTGGGGTCGCTATAGACCTTAAGGCCAGAGCCCAAAAGCCGCTAAAGCTGAAGGGCCGGCCCTTCCCAAAGCCTACGACTTTCTTGGTAGTTGAGCAGGCGACCTTCAACCTTCCGTGGGACCATTGGCGCAATCCGAATCCCAAGCCCTGCAGCATCCCAACACATCCAAAAGCGGCCCATATTACCCCTTGAATTGAGGGTTTAGGGTTTAGGGGTATACAATCAATCAGAATATTACGTTCCCCCTTACTTATAAGGCGCTGTGGCGCTCTCTGCATCCGATGTGGGAGCCCTATAACCCTATCCCCTAAAAGGAGCGCGACCACCTGGGCCTCGTGCGCTTTCACCGGCAGCCGAAAGTCCCCGTGGCCGGGGGCATCTGCTGGACCGCCCGAAGGGTTGCTAATCGAGGGGTCAGAGTTTTCAATGACTATCGGGGTTTTTGGGCTGCGTATTTAGAACCTGGTTTTGAGAAGGTTTGAGTGGAAGCCGGAGTCTTTGAGGCAGTTTCAAAGAGTTCCACAGCATCATTGTCTATTGGGGATTCGGGCTGCGGCTTTCAGGCGTGTAGGGTTTGGGGTTTGGGGATGCGCAGTATCCAAATTTGCTCTTCCCTGGAGAAGCATCCATGGTCGTCACTGCCGCCGATTCAACCAAAGGAATGGTGCAACCAGACACCCCCGCCCCCCCAAATCCAATCTCGCGTAGCTCTCGCATCGGGCTAAAGCGCGTGAAGGAGGAATTCGTGGTACGGCCCTGAGTTTTGGAATGCTGTCCCGAACGCCCAAACTCGCCCCGCGAGGAAGGCGAAGACCGGCCAGTTCTTGAAGAATCAGGTGCGGCTTGGGATGGTTTAGAAGGTTGGGAAACGAAGCAAAGTTAGAGTGCGTGCATTGGCGGAGAAAAACACCCTTGCAGCTTCAGCGGGTCCTTGAGACCCCCTGGAAACGTAAATAGTGCATTCCGAATAATTCACAAATCACCGATCAAACCCTTAATGAGAAGAATATTGAGGTCCGATAAGAAGGTTGGTCTTAGCTTGGTCTGCCAGCAGCCTCCTAGAGAATCCACTATGGGCTTGTCTGAAGGATGTGTGGAGGGGGTGCTCTATGGCAAGCTTCAGAAGTTCAGAGAGCTGCGTATGCATGCAGAGATGATGACCCTTTTTCTAGTGCCGTACGTTGACGAGAGGATGCTGGAGTTTCTGAGCTCCTGAGAATCTCGTCATTCCAATCATCGGAGTCTTCTGGATTCGCCTTCCTCCTAAAAGAGTTTGTGTAGTTTTGTTGGTAGTTGAACTGTCCTGGCAAGCTCCCCGAAACCTTCAAAATCGCCACCAGCCACTTTTGAAGCCAAACTGTGCATTTAAGTTCTGCAAAGTATGAGCTAGTGTGGTTGCGGGCTTCCGGATCTTAGGTCTTCGGCTTTAGGACATAAGGTCACGATGCAGGATTCGCGGTGAGGGCTTTCAGGTTTGGTGACGATGGAGTTTAGGGATGAGGAGTTCAGCATAGAGCCCTGAACCGTGAAATCCCAGAACACGTTGAATCACAAATCTGAGTCCCTCGAGAGACGGGGCCCTCCAAAGTGGAGCTATACCGTTGCCTTGGCCCATGGAGGAACCTCCAGTCAATGCGAAACTCAAGGTCCAGACACCGACAAATCCAGAAACCCCCAGGCTCGGAAAGCTCAAGCCCGGAACCCGACGTTGAATCAGCTTGAAGCACCTGCCACCGAAGAGAAGTGCTGCCTGCTTGCAGGCCTACTACCCCCAGAGGCCGAAAGTGAACCTTTGGGATGTGCCCGCCCATGCGGGGCTGAACACCTGGAAGGAGAGGACTAGGTTCCTGAGTAGTACCCTTTTGCCCTTTTTATTTTGGGGTCTCCTTATTAAAACCGAATATAAGGAAAAAGGGTACAATTATTATTTAGGGGTCACTCAGGAACCTAGAGGATGTTCTTCGGGCTTCTGACCGGGCTTAATGTTGCTGAGGTGGCAGGGATCAGGATGCTCGGTTGTTGAATTTGGAGCTTCGTGTCCCGACGGTCGTATTGACAGTTTCCGAAGATCTTTCTGAATGTCAGACAAGGCACGGGGTGTTTGTTTAAGTACCTGCACCGAGGCTGGCATGCCGGGATTATCGGTACTGCGGGGTTTCGATTCTCAAAACCAGATCGCAGCAGCTGCAGTATCTCGAGGAGTACGAAGTCCCGACCGAAACTCTGACACATTCTCCAGAGCTCCGGTGCAATGTCAACTTAGGGATATCGTTTGTTTGTTTTTTTTTTACCGTGGTTCCGTTTCAATGTTCGTCGCATCATGCATCGCCGGCCCCTGGAACTATTCTCTTCTACCTGTATGGCATCGAGGAACCGTATGGCTTTTTATAATCCGTCATAGAGGTGAGCAGTCAGACATGAGTCTCAGACTGACTCACCCACATCGGTTGTCAAGGTCGCTGAACTGAGAACTTCGAGTATTCCCTTAAGCCTCGAAATCAATGAAACCTCAGATGCCGTCCATAGAATCTAGGCTTGAATCGAAGCTGGAGCATTGTCAGCCGATGCTTTATACGTAGTACATGTACATGCGAGAGCATACGGTCGAAGAAGTCGCGGATCGCCGGCACGAATACCTCGGCGGAGTCTCCGATGGCCGATCCGCGAACTCGCGATCATGGGCAGTGGGATTCGGAGACGCACCCAAGTAAAAGCCGAATAGCACTAGACTCCTATTCCGTCAGCTGTAAACCTTCAACCTAACACCCCCAAACTGCAAGCCATGAATCAAAAATGCGAGCTCACAGGTCCTAAGCCCAAGACCTTAAACCCGAAGAGTCTAAACCCTAAAGTCCCCAAACCTTCAGAGCCGATGCCAAACCGAAGCCGAGGCCTGGCATTCTCTTCAAGGTGTTGTTAAAGAACACCGCGTCGACGAACCTTAAGCCCCTGAACTTGAACCGCTATCCACTGAAAGCCCCGGAATAACCTAAGCCTCAAACCATGAACGTTTGCATTCTTGTGGAGAGCATGTTCACCCAAAATGTTCGGCACATGTAGTTTGCAGGACTGGCATGGGCCGAAGATGGCCACGGATGCGGAGACGTGCGCCCTCGGTTTTCCCGGGCTTTACTCTGGAATTGCAGTGCCCCAAGTTTACAAGTCAGGGTGTGAGGTGCCCCAAACAAAACTCGAGGACCACATTGGGTTCGGGACCCGTACCTCGCCCCAAGACCCTGCACATGAGCTCTAAACATTTTGCTGAGGAGTCGGCATGCTGTTTAGTTTTGGCAGCGTGCTAGCTAGCATCGTTTACAGCAAGAGATTGCTTCATGCGGCCTACAGTATGCGTGTAGGGGGTGACGGGGGTTGTTGCCGACCATGCAGTTGGAGTGTGACAACTGCTACTCTAAATCTTGCTGGCATGACCGAAATATTGTAGCTTGTGCTTGTGCTTGACATAAATATCGTCGGTTATGTTTCCTTCTGGTCTGTTTAGTTTTGTCTCATGGACTGCATCAGGATCGAGCGTCTCGACCACTTTGAAGAGGAACAGGCACCCGGTGTGCCATGGCGGTTACGGTTCGTGCGTTTTTGGGCCTTGCACGACAAGCCACAGATTCTGAGACTGCCACAGATAAACCCCTGGTGAATTACATATCTGGTGTGGCGCACATCCAAAATGCCCGAAACCCATAGAGCTTTATCTCTGTTTGGAAGCCCAACCCAATGCGCAGGCCGAGTGGGAGGCCAAGAAGTTCTTCGTCAACACGGTGCGCACGGAGACGCCGAAATCCAAGCTTCCCCTTCCATAGTTCAAGGAATCGGGAAGCAATCTGGTGGCATCCTAACCATTCACTGCCTCTATAGGTTGGCAGCTCAGAATACTTGGGCTCTAAAGCTCAAACCTTGGCTGTAAGATATGTGCAGAGCAGTCCCACGCTTAACCCCAAAGCCGAAGTGCCTCAAGGGCTGAAGCACACGCAGAGGCAGACAGCCGAAACCTTCGAGCGCAACCGTAAACCAGAAACCCTAGAGTTCTGAAGCTACAGAGCCTTCCCCAACCCCCCCCCCCCCCCCAAGCCCCAAAACCTTGAACCTTACGTTAAGGCCCGAGTCTTAGAACTTATCGAATCGAGGCACGAGTGTTCTCTGAAGGTTGAAGAGAAGATCAAAATACGACATTAAGCAACAACCATGCTACAACGCACTAGAAGGGACTAGTATTTGCTAGCATATGAGAAGGGTCATACAAAATAGTCAAGACAATGATGTACATACTCGCACTGGCTTTACAAGGTTGTATCAGGTTCTCAAGGAGCGTAGGTTGTCTAGGGTCTTCACTATGGGAGCTTTGGATTTTGGGTTGGATTTGGGGTTCATTATATGCGAGCTCAGGGCTCAGGGGTTTCGCGATTATGGCATGGTTTAGGCGGCGAGTTAGTGTTTAGAGTTGTTTAAGAGCTTGAAGAGCTTGGGGTGTAAAGGTAAACCCCCTAACCCAAAACGCTTGAAGTCGGGTTCAAAGCTATTTCACAATGCATATTTGCTTTAGGGAAAAAATTGCAGTTTGAGACAGTCGGTGTATAGGCCCCTGTAGGTCCAAAACTTCCATCAACATGTTTAGCACTGTTAGCATTGTTGTGGTAGGAGCTTGGGATAGAGCTGAAGATATTGTTTGTTTCCTGATCCGTCCATGCAACAGCAAAAACTTAGTCGCACAACCGGCTCTGGCTTCGGCTCAACCATAGGTCTTCAAGCTTCATGGAGTCAATATCCTGCGTGGCATCCCTATCCCGAAGTCGCACCTTCCACTTGAGGCTGGACCGCTTTTCCAACCGGAAGATCAACCGGCAGATGCTCGAATATCAACCAAGCCTTTGTCTCAGCACTGACTCTTGTTCCCCTCATTTTGAGATCAGCCCGGCTCTTTATCTCAACGCTGATGCTTGTTGTTGGGATTACTTCTCAACCCCTTGAATCTGCGGCCCCACTAAGGCTGATCAACGATAACCCCAGGAGGAGATTCCGGAACCCTCGACACCGCAACCTTTGGACATAGACTGATCCCCGACCTGCTTCAGACCAAACTCAACCGCCAAGTTCAGTTTTCCTGACTCTCCTAAGCCTTCAACCTTGGGTCCCAAGCCCCAGATCTTTCACAGATCTCCACCTCAATCTCCGTCGACTCGCTTTATGCCGCTGCTACTGATGCCCCGCAGCCGCGCGGACGACCGCGACAGTAGCAGCAAAAACAGACGTCGAGGCGGCCGTGCTGGAATGGAAGAGCAGGGGAAGTTTATAGTGGGCATCGCAGCAACTTCCAAGCCCCTAAACCTATCGCGGTGCAACGCATACCAAGAGAACTGATCGCCTAGTTTCCCAAGTGAGGTTGGGCACCTCACCATCGTTCAAGACGAGAGGCTTCTGCATGAGATTGGCAGTGCGGGGCGTTAAGGGTTGAGAGTTTAGGGCGTGGCCCCAAAGACTTTAGCTGTTGAGGCTTGAAGGTCTGGAAGTTCTGCATTCCTTCACCCAGGTGGTCATCAGGTTATGGTGGTTCGTCATGTTCCCATTCCCATTTTCTTTTGACTGTTTTAGTAGGGCAATGACTGGCATCGTGGCTGTGATTGTGGATGCTTCGCGTGGTGTGATTACTGTCGTCATTGCAGGTGTTGTCGGGAGGTGGTTGGCATGGCTGTTGTGTTATGTTGGTGGCGCTATCGTTGGAAGTGTTGTGTTTTGCTGTTACAGTGTTTGCGCTCTTGATCATAATAGTGTTGCTCCGGTTCTGGTGCTGGTGCTGTGGTGGTCGTGGTGCTGGTGCTGACGGCGATGCTGATGTTGCTGTCCCTGCCGGCGTTGGAGTCGGAAATGCTGTTGCTGTTGCTGCTGCTGCTGCTGCTGCTGCTGGTTGCTGCTGCTGCTGCTGCTGGTTGCTGCTGCTGCTGCTGCTGCTGCTCCCGTTACCGCCGATACCGTTGTTACCGTTGGTACCGTTGTTATTGTTCCTCCTCTTCTTCTTTTGTTTCTTCTTCTTCTTCCTGCGTTGGTGCTGGTGCTGGCGCTGGCGGTGGTGGTGGCGGCGGCGGCGGTGGTGGTGGTGGTGGCAGTGGCAGCGGCCGTGGTGCTGGTGCTGGTGTCTGTGGCGGCTGCGGCGGCGATGGTGGGGAACTGTTGTTGCTATGGCTGATCGTGGTGGTCGTTGTCGTCGTCGTCCGCGCCAGGTGCATCCCATGTTCGATGCTTGGCCAGCACGGCGAACGAAGCGAAGAGAATGCGAAGGGCAAGGTTAATCGCAGCAAGACTAGTAGCAAGACCGGCACCCATCCGAGCTGCAACATATCTAGATGAAAGCCTTCTTGTGTCTCCAGATACTGCTACTCTGCGGCACGAGCCATGAAACCATTGTTTGATGAAGTTCCTCCCAATTTATGGACTAATTACAAGCCTTCAGTCAGATGTACTTGACCCGGATGTGACGCATTGCGCCGCGTAAGGTGTAAACTGGAGTCTCGCTGTTCACAAAGATCGTTCCCGCTGCGTCATGTCCCATCTAGTCTTGGTATGCAGTAAACACACCCGGACTTGCACAAGAAGGGTTCCCGGACGTCTGGCGACCCGTCACTTCCCTGACTTGAGTTACAGTTACATTCCCACCGTGCACTTCGGCTCCTCAACCAATACTGTTACCTGCCGGAAGCACTCCGCAGCATGCTACAAACCCATCAGCAACCCATAAACCTCCTGCAACCAGGGCAGAAGGGCTTATCTAGGAAGCACACGGGTGCCATATGCCTTTCGTGAGCCATACCAATGCGTTACAGCCGCGCCACAGGCAGTATATTACGAATACCTATGTAGATTTACTAATCGGCATCTCAGGAGACGTTTGAGTCGTGCATGGGCGAGAAGCCCCGGAAAGAGCTCAAGAAGGTCGGGCAACTAGTGGCGCTACGGTTTGGGACAAGGGGTTTCAGGCATCCTTACTACCACTCCACGACGACTACTACTACTACTACTGCCACGGCTACTGCCACTGCTACCGCTACTGCTGTTGCTACTGCTACGGCTTCTGCGACGATGACGCGACTTTGTCTACAAGTCATCTTCTTGACTCCACGTGCAGTCAAGAGCTTCCTCGATGGAGAGCCAAGTGTTTGAGTGCCTCGAAGGTCTATACCGATAGCGTGCTGCGCAAAGACCGACAGGCCAGGCCTCACTGATCTGCTGCTGATCTCCAGACGTGCAGGTAGCAGGTAGACTTTAGGGAGAACTCATAGTCCCGAAAGGGATGCTTGATGCCCGAAAACTTCGATGTCCTTTCGGCTTCAGAACTTCAGAACGAGTGTATCCGGCTCGGAATTGCTGATACAGCCTCGTCAATGGCCCGTTACCGGACGACGTCTTTCCACTGTCTCCACTGATTTCGAATCAAGGGGAAAGTTTTGGATCTGGGTGTGCACAGGCAGATGTGCCTTGAAAAAGCAAAAACACTTCGAAGATGCAGCCACATCGTTGTACAGTGCTTTGGGCCTCAGGGCTTTCAACAGACATTTGGTAAATCTCGAAACCCTAAACCGTCCAACCATTACAACACATGGCGTACCTTACAGCCATCCCTAAGTCGTGAAGCCCAGGCCCAAGGAAGCAGGAAAACGTGCTCCGAAGGTATCGCCGAAGCGATTGCTGGATAAGGTTTGTGTGCTCGCTCGGGAGAGTTTGAATGGAGCATTGGCCCCAAAGCTTCAATGCCAGCATAGGCGCTTCGATCTTTTGTAGCATACCGTAACCCAGGCCCTAGCAAGAGAACTGTGGGGGCCCTCTTGAGTTGAATGCAACCTATAGTCTCCATGGTAGTTCCCTTTTGGGGTTACCCTTTAGGATCCTTAATATAGAATTGGTTAAGCCAAAAAAAGGGAACTACAATGGAGACTATAGGTAGTCTTTAGGGCCCTATAGGCTCAGAAGCCTTGCAAGACTGAAAGGGCCGAAGCTGCCCTTTTTTTTGGGAGGCCATCCGCCAGATCGTCTCGCGCATCCAGGGCGAAGAGACCTGGAAGATGGCCTACAAGCAGTATCAGCAGGACCGACTCCTCCGGTAGTGTAGGGTTTTGGGTTTTGGGTTTAGGGTTTACTACTATGGGAAGGATGAGCCGAAAGCGGCTGAGGACCGGCGCGCGGACATCCGCGCCGACTTCCGGGAACGCCAGGCCCTTCCTGCAGAGTGCGCTCGGAGTTGGGCTGTACCCATAGGCTCCATAGTAGTTCCTTTTGTGGCTTGTATTTCGGATCCTATAAGGTAATCCCAAAAAGGAAAGGTTTAGGCGAAGTTTCTTTCTTGCCAGGCGGGTTGCCGCCTATGCTACTAAGTGCTGCCGCCTACTGTGCTGCCGCCTGCCTACTGCGCTGCTAAGTCTCAGCTCGCTTCTGCTCACTGATGCCATTTTGTTTTCATTTTGTAACAGTATTCTTGCTTGGCCCGCCGGCTCGAAAGTGCTAGCTGCATCACGATCAGCGCGATGGGTATGCTTTCTAGGATTTTCACCCCCATGTCAATTACTTTTGGGGTTTAGGGTTTATAGGGGTTTAGAATTACAATCACTCTGCTTGCTCCCATGTCTTGGCTTATCTGGCGAGGTTGATGCAAAGCAAAAGCTTAGGATCGTGGTCCGTTGCCGGCCGTGTCTGCTAGCAACCAGTCAAGGAATCTCTAACTCTGAAACCTTCGACCCTGAACCAAAAACAGCCCCACAACCTGAAGCATCTTGATCAAGCCAAGCACAAACTAGCGCACCTGAACTTCCCTGCCCAACACTCGAAACCACTAAATAAAAAAACTCTCCCGCACACACACGCTTCACCAGAAGCCCCAGAGCCCGAAAGCCTGAACCCTAAACCCTAAACCGTAAACCCTAAACGGCCCTAAACCCTAAACCCTAACCCCTAAACTGAACACGCCAGGCTCACACCGACCAGCTCATGGCGCTTGCAGGGCAGCCTGGGAAGGCGCTTTGGACTCTCTGTTTGAGAAGATTTCTAGGGCCTATTACCTATAGTCTCCATGGTAGTTCCTTTTTAATGGTTTAACCAATTCTATATTAAGGATCCGAAGTTAACCCCAAAAAGGAACTACAATGGAGACTATAGGTAGGGCCTAAAGTTTACAGTGTAGGAACTGGCTGCGAGGCGCATGAGAGTGCCTTAGGTTTTCAGGATCCGGTAGTGGACGTGTAGGGGTACCCCTGCCCTTGTGCCGTCGCCAGCTTGCCGTGCGAAGTGTCTGAAGCAACCCCAGAGCCTTAAGCTGACCTGCCCCCCCCAAACCCCCAACCGTAAGACGACTTCCCTGCTCTCATCATTAACGCCGCTACATTACCATAATGATCCAGGAGGGTTCGCACCCGCCGCTGCCCAACAACTGCACCCAAAGAAGCGAGGCAGGCGCAAAGACAGAGTGCTGCCGGATCTAGTCGGGTTTAAGTTTAGGCTATGAGGCTATTCGGAGGCACGTCGTTTCAGGCTTTTCTTGAGGGTTTTACGAAGCCTTTCGGAAATGTATTGCTCGAGGAGAGTTTTCACCGGCTTTAGGTGTTCAAAAGATATTGTAGGGCTGTTGGGGGTATTGGTGCTCTAGGGCGTGGTGGGATTTTACGTTGCGGCTTAAGTCAAAAGACAAACTGGGGCACGGATACAGGAGTATCATCGGCGGAGTGCGTGCATGAAAGGCAGAGGAGGGTTCCGTTTCACGGCTCCTAAGCTGTCAATTAGCGAAGGGCACTCTCATTCCGTTGCAAGCTCCAGGGTTTGGGTTATGTTGGGCTCAGCGCTTGAGTCTGCCAGTTTGGACCAAGCACAGCGTGGCTGGGGTCGGGATGACGTTTTGCTTCCGGTCGGATTCGATATGACCTCTCTACAGCCTCAGCATCTTCGAACCTTCAACACTGAACATCTTGCCCAGTTCTTAACTGCAAGGGCCCTTCGTCACCATCAGCTCCTCCTCCTTCTCCTCATCATCACCATCAGCTCATCCTCATCATCATCATCATCATCACATTGGAGGAGCTCGCCGCGCCACGGCCCGCTCACGTGCCGGACGATGTGACGCACTTCAACGAGTTCCGGGGCCTCATTCACGTCGGGGCCACGGGGCCCTGGACGGCAACTTTCTGCCTGTGGTTCGTGGTCTTTGGGATCCAGGATTGCAGGTCTTAGGGTCGAAGGCTTCAGGGCTGGGGCGCCGGACGAGCTTAGATTAAGTTAAGCATCCACCAAAGTGACGGACGTAGCAACGCACACGCAGCTGGCCAGTTTGTGTCAGGGAATTTACAGAGAATGGAAAGTTTATCCTCGATCGAAGGGAACCATGTGGAACTACTGATATCTGTCTCTGGGTCCGACTGTTACTATGCACGGTTATCAGCGACAACCCATGACAACCGCAATAAAATCAAAGCACCCAAATGCCATCACATGCACCGAATTCGGCAAAGCTTCTGTTCATCCCCATTCAGTAACACCTTCGAACCCCAATATCCTCCAACAGCGCTCCCCTTTCGCAGGAATTGAATCAACAACGCGCCTCACGCCAAACAGAACCGAAGAACGATATACCGGCAGAAGAGTAGCAAAAGAGAGAAGAAAGGACAGAGACAACCATGCGGCACGGCCCCGAGTCCCGGCAAGCCCCGAGGAGTCCCGACTAGTCTTGAGGCCGACTGCGACTTCGCCTTGGAGGTCCTTTTCCCCGGCTTCGGGCCAGAGCTGAGTCTGCGGCCCAGAGAGCAAAGCTTCGCTTTGCCTAAGGCCTGGAGGTGGAGGAAGTTTCTTAAGGGCAGGTTTTTGGGGCAGTTCCGGTTTTCGGGCGAGGGGTTAGTAGGTTGTTTGCGTGTCAGGGGCATTTTCTCACCGTGGTGGTTTGTCAAATTTGGCGGCTGGAAGCTGCAAGAGCATGGGGGTTTAGTTGTCGGTTGGGAAGTCGTGAATGGGATGTGTCGCCGTCACGAAACACAGGAGTCCTATTTCCACACGGGCTCGATGTGCGCCTCTTGTTAAGATTGTCATGGCTTCAACAAAAGTCGAGCCTCACACAGATGTGTTGCTCGCGGACAGATCAGGTTTTCCGCTCGCTCGAAACTATCCAAGTCTTCATGGAGAACTTCCTAAGTTTCACCAAAGCCCAGGCCTTTCAGCATCCAGTTTGATGTGTCGTTGCCGAAAGCGTAAGCTCACACAGGACCGTGAAGCTCAAACCCGACTAAAGCCATGAATCTGCCTAAACCCTGAAGCAATAGAAGCGCGGCCACGCTAAAGCTTTGCACAGACTGCCCTCTCAAGCTGTGAGGCAAGGGCTTCTGCGCCAATGCCACGAGGACGAAGCAAGTCGAAGCTGCAACCCTAAGCCACAAACCCTAGGCTATTCCCCTTTTTGAGAAACCTGACACGAGCTCATTATAGTAACCTTATGGTACCTAACTACCCTAAACCCCAAAAAGTACCGCACTTCTCTGACCCTTGTACAACCCCTCAACTGGGGTGCCCTGTCCTGTCGCGACCTGCTGAAAGCAGCCCCGAGGAGTGCCGAGCCAGGGTGGTCCGAAGCTCGGAGACTCCCAAAGAGCCCAGTTTAATAATTCAACATAGGGGCCCACAATGATTGCCTATACTGTTTTGGGGGGGTTCCTTATTATAAGTATAGTATAATGGACCCCAAGACCCTATTCAAGCCCTATTCTAATTGTTTAAAATTTAAGGCCCCTGCATTTCCCCCCCCCCCCCTTGAAGTAGGCTTGAAAAGTTGAAGGGGTCGACACAGGTCGCCTCTTTTCAGCGATTTACTTTTTCTGGTGTTGAGGCTCAGGAAGCTACTCGGCCACCTTTTCAGGGGGCTATGAGTGTTGCGTGGCAGGGTTCTGGGTTTCAGGAATATGCAGGTTTTTGGGCGGGGCGGCTCAGAGGGTCTACTTTTCCCTTGGGTTCACTTCGTGGGATCTTGGTACACGGGGGTTAAGGGCATATAAGGTCCTGGACCAAAGGGCTTCGAAAAATCGGGATCTGGATGCAAGCTGCACACGCAACTTCGGATTGCCGCAGTCGCACACTCCCAAGGGTTTAGGATTTAGGGTTTAGGGGTTGGGGGTTTAGGGTTTAGGGGTTTAGGGTTTATGGTTTAGGGTCCCAACCTGCAGCCTGGGATCTGGGTGCTTCTCTCGAGCTTCCGGATGCCCTGGCACAATGCACTGGCCAAGAGGGAAACACCAGGGCTATGGTAACTCGAGGAGTCTGAAAAGAACCCTCAAAGCCTAAGCCTACATAAGCCCGCCGGAAGAAGACCCCAATCGAAATCTGCAGAGGGGCCCTTTCTCCCCGCGAGATCTGAGGCCACCCCCGCCACCGGCTGAAACGCCTCGGCGACAGCGGGGCCCCTCGCGGGAGAAGCAGCTCAAAAAGGCTTCGTGAAGCAGGGTTTTGGAGCTTATGCAGTTAGTTTTTAAGGTGATCGGGCTGATGATCGATTTGGGGTTTAGGGTTTATAGGGTTTAGGGTTTATGCTGATGGGGCTCATGTAGGGTTTGGGGGGGTGGAGTTTCGAGGTCTCTCCCAGACCCGCGAGACTCTGAAATCTCTACTCCCCCTCAAACGCTAGCAGCTCTGAGCTTCTGTGCCTCGTGTTGAAGCTCGGAGGCGCGTTTCGGATTTCAACTTTTGGGCCATCGTGTCGACATGGGCGTGGATGAGAAGTGAATCATATAGGGGCTTCTTCAAGGCTTGAATCCTTACCAAATATTGTTCCTGAGGGTTACTGAATACATGTATGCTATAACAATACACCCCAAAGCCTTAATCTAATCATCAAGCCCGCATTTCGACATCCTTTGCGGGGTCCGACTAAAACGAGCAAGCTGCTTTCAAGCACGTACCCTAAAGGTACCCTCTTGTGCAGAGGTCCCACTCAAAAGGCCCATGATCCTTCAGGCAGGTGCGTTTTTGGTGGATAAAGAGTTCAGGGCGTTGGGCCCGAGATATTAGATGCAGCCTTGGCATCCGGCTGCAGGGTGCCAGCGTGATGAAGGGCACCATTCCGGTCACAAAGTGCCTCAGCTGTATTGTGTGTGCTGGAGGGCTCCCAATCTCTGAGCTTAGGATCCCGTCTGCGCTGGCAGTTGTGCGTCGGGTTAGAGCTACGAAACATTGTTGTTCAACTATCAGAAAAGCCACATTAGGGTCCATGCAGCTTGGCCTGGGCCGAGGCCCGGTAGAGTTCCGGAGGCCTCAGGCAGAATCCACGCGCCTTTTTTCGGCTAGAGACACAGATATCCGAGCTCTGAATCAGCTGTCCATCAGTGCCCCGATCTTCTAGCACTTAGACAGAAAAAGGCCCAACAAGCCTCCAAGAACAAGACCGCAAAGCCGCTTGCAAAGCATCAAACGTACCATAGTAGGCTGCTGAAGTAGCCCATATCCACAGGCCCCTAAGCAGTTCCTGTTTGGGATTACCTCATCGTATTCTACATATAAACCATAAAAAGGAACTACTTAGGGGCCTTTAGGCAATACCAGACACTCGACGATGCACGTCTGACGCCAGGCAGCGCCTCGAAAAGATTGGTACCCGCGTCAACGAGGATCTCCTCGCCGACCATTCCATGGCAACGGGGCACAGACTTGGCCCGGGGTTCAGGGTTGAGAAGCTGGGGCCCTGACGGTTTCAAGCAAAGCTGCTGAGGGTTTAGGGCTTTAGCGGTGTGTGGCTTGGTACGCTGAAGCTCTTGCAGAAATGCTTGCTGATCTTCTGCTGCAATCGGGCTAGCCGCGGCTAGCCTTCGGATACTTCGGGTGGGGGGAGTTTCGAGCTACGACAAAAGCCTCCCAGAGCAATGGTGCACACGCCTGCCGGGTCTTCGGTTCAAGTTCAGGCCCGAGGGTTTAGAGCTGGCTTGGACACGGTTTTGGGATTGACAGGCAAACACGTGAGCTGCACAGCTTGAATTTTGCAGCTTTCTGGTGCGTAGATGGATGGATGGGTGGATAGGGATAGACAGATGGGTAGGTCGATAGGATTTCGGGTTTAGGGTCTTCAACAAACCAACTTAGCCCTCAGGCGTTTCGGCACCCTTTTCCTAAATACCCTTTAGTATTCGCGCCAGGATTACTGTGTCGCCTGAGCCACATGAAAGCCCCTCAGGCGCAGTTTCGGCGCACACAAGCGCCGCCGGCTCCAGCGCAGAAGAACACGCTCATGCATGAGGCGGCTGCGTTGCTCGGGCGAGCAGCAATTGTCAAGTTCCCTTGTCCTACAGCATCGCCACAAATGTTAAATACAGTCCTGCTTATCTTCCGGTAGTTTCCGGCGGATATACCAGCATGTTCTTTGCTAAGTCCTTCTCTATCTATCTCGCTTCTCCAGACACAGGGGTGGATCTAGCTTCTCCCCGTGTCACGACGGGAGCGATTGGACTGGGCTTCACATCTCATATTCCTCTTGCACCCCTGCACACGGCGGAAGGTCTGGAGCGAGCCTGATGTCTCGAAGTTGGTTACCCATAGGCCCCTAAGCAGTTCCTTTTTATGGTTTATATTTAGAATCCTATAAGGTAATCTCGAAAAGGAACTACTTAGGGGCCCATGGTTAATGTTGGATCGAGTTTGTATATGCTGAACGCAGAATGCCTCCGACACGATGCAGAGCAAACAAGCCGGTTTCCATCTAGCGTATCTTGGTTGGCCTAACAGGTGGCCCAAGAGGTGTGGGTGTGTGGTCTGTGTGTGCGTGCGTGTGTGTGTGTGTGTGAGTGAGTGAGTGAGTGAGTGAGTGAGTGAGTGAGTGAGTGAGTGAGTGAGTGAGTGTGTGTGTGTGTTTCTTTGTTTGTTGTGTTTTTTTATGTAGAACGGATTTCTGTCCACATCAATGGTGACCTATACCCAAGATCCTTCAAGCAGCGAGGAGGTTTACGGCCACACTTTGAGGATTCAATGCCGAGGGTCTGCTCCAACTGCCGAAACCGCATGCACAATCACTTCCTGTTGCGAGCATCAAAAGCAGGACTTCTCACCGACAGTGACGCGGCGGGATCCCGACCGAGTAAAAGCAGGAGGCAACGGCCTCGAGTTGCTTCAGGGCTTCAGGGCTGCATTGTCCGAGTCCGAGTGATGCCAGACCGCGGCTCAACTCGAAATCAAGGGCGGGTTTTCCGGGCAGCTATTTGGAACAGCAGCATACAGTCATCCACAGGTGCCCTTCTTCGCTACCCTGAACACCCCAAAACCATGGCCCTTTTCCGCACACTTCTTACAGAGCGCACAGTGCGTGACAGCACCTCGCAACTGCAGGAAAGGCACACACACAGCAGTGAAAACAGAGACGGTCATGAGTAACAGTATATTTTGAGAAGTGCCGTATGGTGTGTGTTTTCCATATTGGCTGTTAGTAGAGCGGAGCGTGGTACTAGGCACAACCATGACAGAATTTCCGAACATGACTAGATGCAATCGAATGCTGTCATGACCTTAGCAAGGTTTGTTTGCACCATGCATAATTACTGATACTGCTATCATAGGGGGGCAAGAAGCAGACAGGTGGCACCGCACAACACACTAAAACACATGGCGCCAGCTACCGCAGTTGCACCGTTGTAGCAGTGCTGGAAACAGCAGCACTAATAGAAGAGATGTTGGTTGAAGCCAAAACTGACATCTCGACTTCAGAGCCCACAGGCACCTTCTCCCGCACTCAGATGAGTCATCCGAGCTCTCCCAAGGCACGCCTGTCGGATTCTGGGTTGGGAGCCAGGTGTTCCGTTTCGGGTTATAAGGCTCTACAAGCAGGACCAGGAGACTTCGTCGCATTCGCGACGGGGTTCAGAATTTATGATGCAAGGTGGGCCACAGATTTAGGGTCTGTGGTCTACCTATAGTCCCCATTGTTGTTCCTGTCCAAGAAAAGGAACTACAATGGAGACTATAGGTATGGCCGAGAGTTCATGGCGATCTTGGATCTCGGGTCGTTGTGGGCCGCGGCTTCTTTCTACGGCGGAGAGACCCTGCTTGCCAAGTCCCCTTGCGCTACTGTACCCTCAACGCTACATCCTATAGGCCTATACGAACCCGAAAGAGCCAATCCTGTAGGTCCTTTTGCGGGGCATCAGAAGGCAAGGCAGCCAGTCTAGACCCCAAGCGGTGGGCTCCTGACTATAGGGACCGACACCAAAGGCCGCGGCTCAAGTCTAAGAAACCACAGTTAAGGGGTTCAGAAGTAGGGCCTTCCAGTATTGAGGGAGCTTAGAATCAAACCAGAAGCTGCTTGCAAAGTCGATGCTGCAACCTGGCCCCTAAACAAAACCGTGTAAGACCTCTTATGCAACTGCTGCATTCCCCTTAGCACCGGCCTGCCCACCAAAGCCAAAGCCTCACAAGCCCCTCGGCCTTAAACTCTTTTAATTCCAGGGACACCTGGCTAGAAGCCTTCATGCACGCATTCCTAAGCCCTAAGCCCTAAACCTGCAAGCATCCTAGAAACCCTGATCGGCCTAAACCCTAAACCCTAAAAACCTTAAACCCTAGACCCCCTAAACCCCTAAACCCCTATAAACCCTAAACCCCTAAACCCCTGTCACCCAAGCAGCGCTGCTTTGCGCTCTTGGCCGCTCTGAGGCCCAGGAGTCCTTGCCGCCACCGCGCCGGGCCATGGTCTACCCGGCCGGGGGCTCCTGCCTCCGGTTAAGGGTTTTAGGGTTTAGGGTTTAGGGGTTTAAAGGTTTAGGGTTTAGGGTTTAAGGTTTAAGGTTTAGGGTTTGAGGTTTAATGTTTAAGGTTTAGGGTTTAGGGTTTAGGGATCTCCAAAAAAATGTGCTGCTGTGAGAGGCTTGCAACTGGTTGCTATGAAGGTTCGCTTGATGTTATGATGTACTCGATCACGTGGTCATGGGGCTCCTTTGAGGGCTTGCTTCAAGTCAGAGGCTACAACGGTGGCCGTATGGGATTTGATTTTGTGCATGCCTGAACATGACGGAGAGTGGTTGTGCTAGACTTGCGTTCGGTGCCCTCGATGCTTTAATGCGGCCCGGACACAGTCGTTCCCACCGGCCCATGAAGAAATGCACCTTAAGGGAACCATTACAGCAACCTACAAGCGAAGAGCCCTTGACAACACAACGCTCTGCTAAAACAGGACGAGCGGCGTGAGCAGGCCTTCCCATGGCGCCAAAACATGCACAGAGCCATCTCACAAAGCCTAGCCGGTCCTAAACCTGCTAAACCGGCCCACCCAAGAGCCGCAACCGCCAACTGCATTGAATCCCCATCTCCAGGTCACTATCTTAAGCGACGCACCCTGCGCCCTTTGGCGTCAAAGGTCATGGTCGCCTCACAGCCAGAGTCGCCGAAGGCGACGAAGCTGCTGCAGGCAGCTCTGGGAGTAGAAGGTGCTTAAAGCGGAGTCTACCAGAACATGTTTAAAAAAAAGCGGAGTACGGTGCAGTGTCGTTGGGAGCTTACGTGGTCAATTTGTTGGCTCACGGGCAATTACAAGTGCAAGTCGTAGAGCTTTTTTTATTCGGTACCCATTAGGTAATGGGCCATCAGGCTTGGTGTGGACTTGTAAGGCTTTTGGGCTGCAGTTGCGACATGCATATTTTTACGACGAACCAGGCATGACCCTTTAAGCAGGGTTGCGATATCCGGCCTGGGTTCCGAGTAGCTGCGGGCTCTTTTGGCAAGCAGGACAAAGAGCTTGTGCTGGAGGCCATTGGTTCTCTTGCCAGCTTCAAGACGTGCCTATCTCGCCTCTACATATTTAACCCCTCAGTCTCGAAACGGCCCTCTGATCCTGAAGCCCGAAATCTCAAGGCGGTGCATGTGGGTGCCTAAATTCAGTGTTGGGGCAGCACCTTGCAGCGCACACACACACACAAACTATAGCATATGCAGCATGTTGCTCGCTGATGGCTCGGTTCTTGTGCAACATGATTCGATTGGGTGTGATGACAGTGGTGTGGAGGACATGTCATGCTCTTGGCAGTGATACTACCACCTGTAGAACAAAAAATGCTGCACTCTAATCCGGTACGTATAAAATAAAAGACCAGCACGTGCCT